ACAAAGGGCCTGTCCGAGCACTCTGCACATAAACACAGACTGATGCCAGAACGAGAAGCAGGATGGAGTCTCCCACTCAATTTGCTTATCCTTCTGGCTCTTCCCCTTTATTTACATGGCACTGTTGTAACATTATTTAACTTTTTCATAGTATTATTTACCCTTGCAAAACGAATACACAAAATGACATTACATAAGTTATGTTCATATATTCTTTCAATCCATTTCAGATGAAGCTCGCTCACATTAAAAAATGTATGCTTTTCTCCCCTTTCACAGCCACCCCTGGAAACACTTCACTTGTAAATCAAAAGGAACAACCAGAAAACAAGCAAACCATCCTTCTAACTTTTGCGTAAGGCTTTATTAAAGATTGTGTATGTCTAAGCCTGGCCACATGAGCATCTGTTGCCTCCTTTAAGTTCTGCTTCACTTCCTCATACCCCCTGTGTCTAGCTCAAAGAAATGAAGGGATAAAAATACCGATAGTGAGGATGCTATAGTTGGCCCTAAGAATACAAATGCGAATTGCTTTCAAAACCAGTGACACTGCTCAAAGATCTTGCCCAGCATCTCACTCAACTGCCCTTGCAACTGCAGCCCTGGAGGAGCACAACGAGCTCCTCACCAAGCAGACACAAGTCAAAGAACTCACCAGAACCAGAGCTCTGTTAGCTGCAAAAGCATGCTGCCTTCAAGCTGCATCTTGACCACCTGGTAACATCCATTTAAGTATTTCCAAGTACTTTTAGTTCATTCCTTAAAGTCTGCTTTTGCTCAAGCATCTCCTGCTTGTCTTACTGTCCATCCTTTGCCAAGCAATAGTGCTGCTGCTGTCTCCACCAGCCCCATTTCTGCATCATCACGCGTTACTCTTGGTGTGCTTTCCTCCCCAGCTCGTTGCACTTGAATCAGGGAGGTCACTCCTGGAGCAGCACCTCTTTAGCCAAAGGCATGGCAAGCAGAAAGGCTAGGACCCATTCCAAACTTCAAGATTCACGCTTGCCTTGCTTGTTTCAGCTACCAAACCTGCCTGGTGTCACTACACCGAGCGCAGCACCGGCAAGAAGGCGCTGCCTCGGGTACGCACGGAGCTGCTCGTCAGCATTCAAGCCGTGGCACTGCATCTTACTGCTATCAGTGCCTTGCTCTTCTCTTGCTCTTCACAGAGAATTAAATACTTCCTTGAGAGCAAAACACATTGTAGGAGGGATGGTGGCTCAGCTGCCAACACTTCCATATTCCTCAGACAGGGAAAGAGGGAAAAAAACAACAAACAGCACTCGGTTCCTCTATATGGCATCTTATTCCTCTATAGCATAGCTGTAACTTTTGCACCTTTTTATTTACAGGTCCTTTGAAGCACATTTCCTCCACGCTTCCCCTTGCTGCAGCTGTTTTCATAACGTTTCCTGCCACTACAATGAACAAGGAACAGCAGCCCCTGTCACTAGGGCCGCAGCTTCAAAGGCCGCTCCAACTTGCGAGGCGTAAGGCAGGCAGAGGGCACTCATGGAAAGGCGGAATTTAAAAGCCCGTTTCTCCCGCAAGGGTCACGCCACAGGGAGAGATGGCCTTGCGAGACTGCAGGGAGACACTGAGCTCTTTCAATGGTGTCACCATCATTTGCAGGGCGAGATAGCAGTGCTTTCTACCCATCGGGCTGCTTAAGGGTGCAACACGTGCTAAGGCAATGGGAGGGTCTGGGTTTTGCCTAGGCAAGCTGCAGCTTTTGCAGAGGGAGGCCTGGGGCTATGCGCAAAGCGGAGCCGGGTGGGGGGACAGGACCGTGTCCCTGTGGAGCTGGCAGCCAGATCAGACCCCTGGGAGCACCCTCAGCTCCCGCGCTGCCTTGCAAGGGAGCTGCTCCCAGGCACCAAAGGAGTTTCAGAGGAAAAAGAAAAACAAAATCCTCCTGGGTTTCATAAGGATCTTCAAAAGATTCAGACCACTTATGCTCCCAATAATTAGATAAACACATAGCGAGTACAGGTATATTACCACAGGCAATGCTGATGTTTTGCTATTTGAACAGCTTCGTGCCAGGAGTTTTCAAAATAACCTTAAATAAATTAAAAAGACACATTAGCCGGTGGCTCTTGTCACTCACTACACTTACAACAGGCAGCAGCCACAGCTATCACAGGGCATTTCGCACTAAAAGACTCATTAGCCATCCTACAGCCGTGACTATTTGTTCCAGACTATTTTAGGAGAGCTGAGACAGATGGCCTGAGAGACTGAGATGAAACCACAGAAACAAGGGAATTTCAAGGGAGCCAACAATTACAGCTACTGCTTATAGTACCAAGCATCGCCTGCGCTGCAGCACAGTTCCCACGCACGGGCAGGGAAGCAGAGCTGCAGCCACCAGGTATCCAGCCAGTCTGTCAGCCCCCCCTTCAGAGGCGTACAGAGGAGCGTGTGACCACCAACAACACCTCCACGCAGGAGGCTTCTCTGAGGTTTGGGATCTTCTTGCAGTTTCACTCACAAGAGATACTAATTGCTAGAGATATTAATCTGCTTATTCTTCCAAATTCATCATCATGCACCTTTGAGTCTTCCGAGCGCCAGGCCAAGAGGCTACATACCACAAGGGATACATTCACCTTCCTAATGGAAAGTCAGCTGCTGTTCTGGGGATGGCAGCATGGCAAGCGGGATTTCCATTCACTTCTTTATTCACTTGCTCCTCATTATCATTACTATAATCCTGGTACCAGGAGTGAACAATGAAATACAGAATGGACTGCAATGGGAAAACAGAGCAGATGCTTCAGCAAAGACATTGAAAGCATCCCAAGTAGCACTGGTGGCAACAGGTATTCTTGAGATAATGCAGTATTTCCATTATAAAACCTCAATTTTTCATTTCCATCTAATTTTGCCAAACTTCTAACAACTGGAATATTTCTCTTGGGTATTTTAAACAGGTAAAAGATTGAAAAAGGACAGCACAGATGAGAAGGCAGAAGGAAGGATAGCAGAATCTGTGCCCATCAGAAAATGCTTCCCTACAGAGCCTGGCATGGAGATTCCCAACTCCCAGCACTACCCCGCTGTCAGCAAATATCCAAACCCACCGGCTAATCCCTGCCTACACAGGGCTACGCTGCCGAAGATGACAACCTGCTGCTGTTACCATTTAGTCAGTTAGCTCACATTGCAGAGAGCTAGGGAGTGAATTACAGATTCCAGCATTCCCAAGGATCCCCCACAGTTTGATTTGTTATGAGAAAGAAGCACTTAGGCACTCTGAAGTGTGTTAAAAGCACTCGTCAGGCTGCAAGTCAAGCGCTTCCGAGTTAGGAAGCGCCTGCAAGGTCGACGTTTTGCCAAGGTCCCAGCCTGCACCTATCACGATACAGTCCTGAGCTATGTGGTCCCAATATTTCTTCTGTGGGGCCTCATCATCATTCAGTCTGCAGACTGAGGAGTAACTTTTCACAGAGCAGTTAATTTTGGTCAAGAGAAAAATTAAAAAAAAAAAAAAAATCTTCTAGCAAAAAATGCCAGAAACTTCTGGATGCCATTTACTCCACCAGCTACATGGGTTGCAAATACCTGCAAATCTTTCATTGCAACAGTTCTTGTCGGCTGGAGTGGACCGAGGCAGAGACAAGCGATGTGTCAGAGTAACCAGCAATGCGGGGCCCCCATTTGCGATGGTTGGGGGCAGCCAGGACCGCAGCTGCACCCGGTAAGCAAGGCCCAGCAAGCGAGGCACTTCTCCCATGCAGAGCCGTAGCTTCGAGCACGCCGAAAACGAGGGAGCAGGCGGGTAGCAATCACCTGTGACAAGCCCACGTTAAGCACTGCCCCAAACCCACCCAGAAACTCACGCACAAGCAGCGACTGACTGCAGTTCTTCAGGGTGGCGTTACTCGACCTTACATGCGATGGCCTTCCCAGTTTTTAAACTAATTCATTCTGTGGTGCTACAAAACCAAGCTTACTGCAACAAATAAAATGGATTCTTCCTATACCTGTTTCATTCCAAGCACTACCTAAGACACAGGCCTACCGGATTCAATGGTTTGTCATCACATAACAAAATGCAGCCACTACAATAATCCAAAGGATTAATTAAATCTCACCCCAATTTGTGACATCTATAGCTCTGAAATAATACTATTATAGTATTTACTAACAGTATTGTAATACTGTTAAGAGTCTTTAAATACTAGCAGCATTATAATAATCATCTTAATGTGATTTCTGAGAGCTAACACTTCAGGTTTAGAGGGGTACACCTGCATGTACACTCAGTGCCATATGGATGGTTGTAAAAATTTCTACTTATCAAAAACATTGTGGCACATTTTCATGTCAAATCCAATTCGAAAGGCATTCCCCCACTTCCAGAAGGATGCCTACTCAAGCCAGGTCACTTGGTCCAATGTTGCCGCAATTCCTTCACCTTTAAAAAACTAATACTAATATTATTTTAATTCACCTTTTAATAATAATAATAATAATAATAATAATAATAATAATAATAATAATAATAATAATAATATTGACTCAACAATTTCTAACCCAAGCAGTACTTTTACTTTGAAAGAGAGGGTTCTGGGAATCCTTCACAAAGCCCAGGTTACCGAACCATAACCATTAATTTCATGTTAGAAGACTTTAAATAGTAAGGTAACGAAAAAAAAATAAAAATCAACTGTAACATAGGAAAGAGGCACAGAGAGAATTCGGCTGCATGACTAATTTCTTTTTATTCTTTAACCAGGTCAAACTAACACAAGGTAGGAGGCAGAAGGGAAAAAAAAAGAACAGCAAGATCCACTCTCAGCATTTATATGGCACTTCACACTGGTAAACCACTTTTAAAAATTAACTAATTAATCCTCGCAACCCCATATTCCCATCTGATGCATTCAAGTATTATAAACCTGTATTTTACAGGAGAAAACTAGGGCAGGCAGATTAAAAGCCGTATTTCCACAGTGTCCATTAATTCCGCGCGTCAGTTTGGAGTGCCCAACCTGAGAGACTGAAAAGGAGGCCAGAAGATATTGCGAGGACTCGCAGCGCCGCAGAAAGCCAGTGCCCGGCATTAAGGAGAGGGAGGGAAAGCCTCTGAAGTACCCAGATTTGGGAAATTTGGGGTTGAATTCTGAGCAGTTGCTGCCGACGCACGTGAGTTAGAAGCGGAGCTTGCTTTGTTTTCCCTTAAACACGAACCGCAGGATTGTCCGTGTGTGGAGAGCCGGGCAGACCAGGGCGACGGCGGCCATCTTGTGTGCCACGAGAGTGGCAGCTCCCGGGATGCGCCGTCCGCAGCGGCCATCCCGAGCCTTCCCCAGCGCTCGGAATGCCACCGGCACCAACTTGAGCATGGGGCTTCTGTCCCGGCTTGCCTAAAATAAAGGATTTTGAAATAAAAAGCCTCTGCTAGAAAAAACGTGTAAGATGTGCCACTGCAAATTAGCTTTTCTGCTAATTGCAAACACAAATCAGCTTCACCGAAGCGGGTTTCTGGCATTGATCCTGCGGGCTGGGCCCCGCACACAACACGTCCCCCTCCACCACCCTCGCCCGGGCACCGGACAAGCCCCACTGCCTGTGGTCCCCCACAAGGGTTACAAACAAAGACCTCTATTTCTGCCCTCCACTCTGAGCGAGGGAAACAGAAAGCACGTCTGCTTTCAAGCCTCTCCATTTTTCTGCAGGACAGGTATTTATTCACAGCAATTTTTCCCAAGCACGGCCTCGTTGCAGAGACTGCCGTTAATTACTTAAGGCCGGGGTCAGAAACCTGTGGTTTGAGAGCCACATGCAGCTCTTCAGCAGCATGTGTTTAGCTCTTCAATCCTCTGGCACCAGCCCACAGTTTTCAACAGCGCACAAGTGCAGAAGGAGGGTTTTTTGGCAAGAAAGGCCTTTAATGGCTGTGTAATCAACCCAGCTCCAGCCGTTCCTGTGAACGCCGGCTAAAAGCGAGGCAAACTTCGCAAAGTCACTTTTGTCAAGCGACACGTTCGCCATCAGCGTCGCCGACACGCACGTGAGGCAGACAGCACGTACGAGAAACCCTCCTGGCAACGGCTTCATAGGACACGGGCAAGGCCGTGTCGGCGCCACGTCCACCGCTCGCCCGGCCGCGTCTGCCCGCAGTAACATGCGGCCGACGCCACCTCCGGGCCCTCGAGCAGCGCCATGAGCGGCGGCCAGGGGAAGGCATGTGCACCGCGCACAAGGGCGAAGGAGCGCTCGACCTCGCCGGGCGCCTCCATGGATCGCTAATGCTGTGCTGACTCACCGGGCACCCGCACTGTGTCCAGAGGCGTGTTCGGAGAGGCCTCCAACACCCGGGGGTTCTGATGACGTTCCTCCGCCCCAGTGTAACAGCGCTGAAACCGTGATAATACACAAGCTGCTGCAGAAAGACGCTCCTCTAACACTACTCTGTTGTTCTTTGTCTTTTTTTCCCCTCCCTGGCTTTCTGGGGGGGTCATTATTTTGAACGCTTTCCTGCAAGAAGCATCTCGTGAGCTATCGACGTCACACAACAAAGGCTTTCAAGCACTTTCCCTTCCATACAGCCATTTTTATTATTAATATCGCCCAGAATATATTGTGGAATTCACTTTGTTTTTACATCCAGTCACATGTTTTGTTCTCTTTTTTATTTTTTTTCTCGTGGCACCACCAGGGAACACTGGGTAAATTGTAACGCTCCACACCAGGGCAAAGAATGGTCTTTTTTAAAGCCGGGAAGTTGATGAATTGTTATTTGCCAAGGCCTAAGTAAGCACGGAGCACTACATCTATTCCTCCTCCTGTGCTCTCCGTGATGATGGATGGAAAAACGAGGCAGGAAAAGAGGCAGAGACAAGCCTGAGCTGACAGCCTCACAGATCCGAGCAGGATTGTTTTAATCAAGCTGTGAGAAAAAGTAGCTCTTTGTTTTATTCTCCTACTCTTGTGCTGTTATTGCAAACATAGAGCATGGAAATACTGCACCGTATTTCTGCATCTGCAGACTGGAACTCATTGAAAGTACAAATGGTAATCCCCACACACCCGCGAGACACACCAAACACGACTGTTTTCAGAAAGGCAGCTTCATCTGAACTCCGAGTTACAAGCTGCATCTTGCCTGCAGTGCTAGGGAGGATGCAGGGTATGTATGTGAACTCAACATTTTTTTGGTGCAAAGAAGTACTTACATCTTTTAGATTAGCTAGATGACTTATTCCTTACCATCTCATGTCCACACTGCCCATACTCTACACCATAATATTTACCCATAGTGAAGAGGAGAAAGCAATGACCAGATAGGCTTTCAGGGATTTAGTACAAACACTTAATGAAAGCCAGTTAGCTGTTCTCTGGGAGCCTGCTCGCTCCATCCCCTCCAAGCTGGGGCTCGGAAGCTGGGACAGTGTAGAGGGACCAGGCTGCTCCCAAGGGAGCCATCTGTCCTCATCTCGCGGCTCCTCTTCACAGAGGGGCCTCTCACACAGGGCTCCCGAGGGACAACAGGGCAAAGTTCTCACTCTTTGGCTTAGCCTATCCTACAGGGTCAAAGGATAAAATCCTGTTGGCACCTCTTAGCTCGAGGCAGACGGGCAAGTTTCTGCTGCGGTCAAAGTCCCTCCATCCTGCCATCTCCCAAGCACATGCTCAGCAGCAGGACAAGGAGCAGAATAGAGCTGTACTTTTGGTGACTTCAGTCCTGTAGCTACTCCACAGCAGTGAGATCACCTTCAGGGTAGTAGCATGAGTCCCGCTCTCAGTTTGAGCAGGGCTCTCCAAAACAGGAGGGAAGTCCTAAAAGAAGGATCAGAGCTGGTAATAGGAAGGCCTCAACCCCCATGGATGCAGTTCTGCGATATTCAGTAACTGTGCAGTGAACTCCAGGTTCACTGATCCTTGTAGCCAGGGCACACGCTAAATCTGAGCAGATCTGGCCAGAATTCTCTGACAAGAAGACAAGCCCGCCCTGCTCCTGAGGAGAGATACAACATGTGCAACAAAAACCATCTGTGCTGCAGAAGGGCTCAGAGATGGAGCCACCTCCAAGAAGCCAACCTCAGAGCAGTCCTGGTTGCTGATAACGACATAAGCGTGACAACAAATACTGGCTACTGGCCACTATGGACTTGGTAGTTTCCACCACATTCCCACGGGCAGGAAGCTAAGCCCATGGCATAGCAGCAAACAGCTCAAGCAGGGGCACCAGCTGGCTCACACACTGCCAGCTTTGCCAGGCAAGGAACACCAAGTAAGGAGAAGAGAAGCGTGTGGGAAGGCAGAGCACTGCAGCGCTCACAAGCGAGTACTTACACATGCATGCTGACATCAATTAATTAATAAAATTAAAAAACTCTTGCCAAGGTTGGTCTTGGGCAAAGGGACTAAAGATTGTTAATGTCCAAGCGCGGTGTAAGTGCATTCTTCCCATAAGGGCACAAGATATTTTTATCAAAATTCACTGTCCTAGAAATGCGCCAATTGGCAGCTTTTAACCCTCAACCCACTTACCAAATGTGCAAAGCTTCTCCTGCAGCAGCACGATCGGGCAGGAGTCACGGCTGCGTGCTAGGCGCAGAGAGGCCTGCGTCTCAAGGGCCCAGGGAACAGGGGCCGCGGCGCTCGGGACGCTCGGGGCCCGGGCAGCAGGCTCCCTGCAGCCTGCCTGCACGCGGGAGCCCCAAGCGGGCCAGCTCGCTGCTTCAGTGCTCCCCGCAGCACGCGGGGCGACTGGCAGCACCCGGAGCGAGCTGGGGCAAAGGCATCAAAGCACCCGGGCGCTCTGCTGCGCGGCTGCGGGGAGCGGGTTACACCTCGAGCTCCCTTACACAGGTGAGGCTTCACTGAGCGTTTGTATCACTTCTACCCGGCTCCTCTTTCCCTACTTCTCCCGAACCTCCACCCTATTATCAGCCACCAAATAAAACGCTTCCAGTTTTGTTTGCGCATTTTCCTTGCACGAGGTTAATATGCAGCCTCCTCCGATAGCTTCTTGCAACAAGTATTTTAGAATTAAAAAAAATGCAGAGGCAAAAATAACACTTTTACTGAACAAGTCAACAATATAAGGACTTGAGAATATTTGGATGACTTTCAGCTTTTCAGCTTCCCTTCTTTCCTTCTAAAACAAGAAAGTGCAGGATTTAAACAGAAAAATGACACCTCCACAGATTCAGGGAACCACTGTTTTTCAGTGAAGAAAAAAAGGGCACAGATGGTATTTGTGTATCGTCTGTGCACGAAACATCAGCAAAAAGCCGAACACACATTGCTCTGCATTTATCCTCCCTCACCAGGTTTGCTGCCACATCCCCATGCGCTGGGATTGTGTGCCGCCACGGCCGGGCCGCAAAGGCGCCTGAAGTCATTACTCACTCTGTTAATCACTAATACGGGCAGGGAAGAAGGGCCAGAACCTTTTCACATTACAGCCTCACATCGCTGGGGGAAAGAAAGGATCTGAACACTGAAAGATGAAATATAAAATGTCCTCCTTACAAACTAATGTAAAAGTAAAGCTGCCACTTGTTCCTAAGCCCAAATTACCCTTGCGGACATTATCCAGGTCCATGATACTCCTGTACTACTTGTTCCTGATGGTTTCCATTGTTTTCTAGAGATTGCAGATATGGGAATGTACTTAAAAGTCAAATATCCTACCATCCAAAGCATCAGCTTTAAGCAAGGTGGCTTGCCGAGCTTAACATGGCTCATGCAGACCCGAGGAGTAAAATTTGACCTTAAGGAATGAGATGATTTATGAGCACAGAATGCACTTCATTCACACGTGCTGCAGCTGCACGGAGTTCCCTCCTTGCCTTCCATGTAAAGGGGAAAAGGCTGCAATGGTTAAAAAATATGTAGGCACCTGCTTCTCAGGTCCACCCTACACAGTTCCTGCCTGCTCTGCAAATCTTTGTGCAATCACTACCCCCATTCCCCTGATTACATCTGCAACATTTACACAGGGGTCCAAAGAGGACAGAAAGTGGGATTTCTCCCACAAGTCAAGGATTTGATGCATTGCTCCAGTTTCCTTTGGGAAGACCCTCCCTTCGTGCA